ATCATTGTTATTCTCTATTCTTATCGAAGCTTTTGTTTTATCTTTAAAGATGTTAGTTATTGGACATGCTTTCTTGTGATCGAGTATTTCTAAAGGACTAAGTCAAATAAGAAAGCAGTGGGAAAAGTTTTTTCTTAAAAATAAAATGACATGTTTTGAAATAAGTAAGAAAAAGTGAACAAAGTGAGTTGCTACCACATCCGTTTAATGTTTACGATCAATTAATTATTTATCTCTTTTGCCTCTGTCTCAATTTATTTTATGAAAATCTAAATTTTGTATCTGTCTCTTCTCTTTTCAATCTGTGATATACCATTGTGTACTCTCTAAAAAATTATTTCCATTAATATGCCATTAATAAAGAATATTATTATTCTCTGATTCTCCAATTTTCTGGGCAATTTGTAAAAAATTCCAGATAAAATGATATATTTTTAAATGTCTTGCAAATAAACATATATTTATTGTGCAAAGTCCTTAATATTTTCCGTTCATAAAAGTTTATAAATCGTAACATAAAATGAAGAATCACTCGAGTTTCAATGATTAAATTCGACAAATTTGGAAAGAAACTATATAAACTGTATGAGAAACTGTATAAGACTATAAAAAATAAATATTTTATATTGTGAATAAAATTTTCGAATTTTATTTATAAAAGTCATAAACAAGATAAATAAAATTCCCTGAGAATCCCAGGTTTTTCCGGGAAGTAGATAACCTGTTATTATTAATAATTAAAAGAATCTTCGCGCAGAAAGTGTCTCACTTGATTCACCGACTCCAGCAGACTGCCGAGGCTGTTCTGGCTCTCCACGTCCCTCCAACGATCTCTGCTGACCCTGAATCCTGGCTGCTGGTCGTCTCGCCTGTGATAGGATTCCGTGTGATCGAGCTTGATCTTCTTCGCCCCTCTCAGCTCGTTCTCGCTAGTGGCCTTCAGTCGTGAGCAACACTCCACGAAGAGCTCCTCGTCGAAGTTCAAGATCTTGCCTTGCCGCGGTTCCGCCGTCGACTCGATCTCTCTCGGCACGTCCAAGGCATTGTCCTCGATCGCGTCCGTGGGCGCGATCGTTATCACGTCCGCCGACCTGTGACCGGACGACGGCGACCTGATGACGATCTTCTCCCCGGAGAACTCGCTGGGGTTCGTCTTCCTGCAACTGTCCTCGTGCGCGGTACGCTCTTCATCCTTCTCGTCTTCCTCTTCCTCGTTGTTGGAGCTGCTTTCCATCAAGCTGTCAGGACTGTCGCGGGCATAGAACGGCGACATTCTCCGTTTCCCAGGATCGTCGTCGTCGTCGTCGTCGTCGTCGTCCTTCTCGTCGGATTCTTGGGCCATGTGAGAATGTCCGTCGGCCGTTTGGTCTCTCATCGTCGGCCCTTCGCCAGCCAAGCTGCTGCCGCTGCGCGACGACACCGCGTCCTTCTTCTGCGCGATATCTTTGCCGCTCGGCCGCTCGTTCTCTATGAGAGCCTCCTGGTCGAGCGCTACAGGGTTCCTCGCCGTAGGTCTCCAGTCTTCGTTGGCGTGACTTTTCTTGCTCTTCGCTTTCGGCTGCTGATCCAATCCCGAACGATCCTGACTGGTGTATTTCGGAGACGCCAGGTCGCGATAAGAGAGGAACTCGTGGCCTGTGTTCTTCACGACGGCTAGATTTTTCAACCGGTTCCTTGACTCGCCGGTAGACCGCGCCGTGTAATCGTCCCGTGTGTCGTCCTTCGTTTCCTGATCTCTCAGAGCGACCAACGAATCGTTGTCGAAGCTTCTTGTGGCTTTCTCCTCTGTTTTCGTCTTGCTGATCTTGCCGGTATCTTTGCGACCGCTGGAGTCCTTCCTCGACTTTCCACGCCCGCCATTCGCTCTGGCCTGATCTTCCACGCTGGCGTTCTTCCAAGCCTCACCAGTGTCCTCCTTTCGCGTGACGCTCTTCTGGCTACTCGGATGACCCACATCTCCGGACTCGTGCATCTCGCGGACGATCCGTTCGTCGAACAGGCACGAGGAAGCACCGTTATTATCGAGTGTCCCCCAGGCTGCCTCGTCCACCTTGCTCTCCCTGCGTTGGTACTTGAACACGTTGAACTGCGACTCGAAACGCTCGTTTCTTGCGTTGCTGTCCCGCCGTTTGCGACAGTTCGAACTCCCGTGAGACTCGTGGCCGGAAGATTGGAGATTCTCCCAGTCATCGGTGCTCGAAAGACTCCTCTCCTTCGTTCGGTCATGGGCCTCCTTGTCGCTCGAGCGACTGTCTTCGAACTGATCCGTTGACTCGTGTTGTGTCTCTTTAGTCGCGTTTGCGTCATCGCTCACGTCCGAAAGGACCGGCGACTCCTCGATGATGAAGGCTCTCAGGATCCTCTCGATCCTCATATCCGCTCTGATCTTGCTCTCTCGGCGTTTTCGCTTGATCGGGTTGACGGGTGACAGTGATTCGAGACGGTCCTTAGGTGGCGCGTCGGGATCTCGTTTCCTCCGGTTTTTCGACTTCCCGTGAGCATCAGCACTGTCGTTTCTTTTCTTCTTCGTCGAGCGCTCGGCGTCGGAGCCTGCGTGACGCTTCTTCTCCCTCCTGTGCTCGTTCTTCGCTGAGCCGCGTAGGCAGGATCTCGCTTCCGAAGTGCTCCTCGACACGTCCGAATCGTCCTCCGACCTCGACACCCAGTCGTTCAGCACCTCCTTTACCTTGTCAGCCTTCTCGCCGCCGAACACCCGGCCGAACACGCTCTTCACAATCTTGCTCTTGTTCGAGGAGGCTGACTCGATCTTGTCCTCGTTCTCGCTCTCGCTCGATAGCTCGGCGACCTTTACCGTAGCTCTTTTGCTCTTGCCTTTGGACGATTTGGATCTCTTACGATCTGATTCTCGCTCTTTGTTCGTCGAGAGTTTGGATATCTTCTTGTTAGGCACGTCCTCCACCGGTGGTCGTATCTTCTCATCATCGTCGTCTACCGTCTCTCGAGGTGGCGGTTCGTCCACGACGGGAAGCGACTTGTCGTCGGGGCACGTCGCCGCTTCGTCTCCGCTATTTTCCGACGGGAGCTTCAGTTCTTTTTCTTCTTCTTCTTTCTGGGCTTGTTCGCGAATTTCTTTCTCGGGAAATTCCTCCTCCGACAGCTTCTCTTCCGACGATTTCGACAGATCCGCTTGAATCTCGGCACTTTCGGATTCCGCCGATTTCAAAACGTCGATCGCAACCGGAAGTTGCGACGCGTCGCTCTGAGCTTTCTCGGTAATCTCAGACGAAAGCTCAGCTGGAGTCTCATCGGTCGCGTTAATGGAGATATTTTCGCTCGTTTCCTCGTGACTTGGTTTACCTTCCGAAACGCATTCTACGTCGCTAGACGATCTATCGACGACGTCGCTCTCCTCCGACGGGACGCCGGTCGCTTGACATTCTTCATCTTCAGCCGTCTTAGCGTCCGTTTCCTGCGCCGATTGGTCTTTGAGAATGTTCAGCTCGTCCTCTTCCTTAGTTCCTGATAAATTCGATTCTCTATGATCTTCAACAGAAGTCTCAGCGTTTGCAGTAGAAGAATCGACGAGACTCGGCGGAGTCTCCTCGGTGATTTCAGAGTGAGAGGTGACTTCTTTCGTCATCTCTCTCGCTTCGTCGCGATCCGATTTCGCCGGCAAAGAGACGTCAGCTTCCATGCTCGCGGACGGAGGACACGGAGGATTGATCTGTGCAAAGTTCTTCCTGGGCCTGCCTCTCTTCGATTTGACTGGCTGCGCATTTGTATCGAGACGCTGCGGCTTGCAGGTCTCCTGATGCTCTTTGGTATGTGAACTTAACTTTTGATCCTTGGCTTTTGATTCTTCGAATTCCCCCCTCTCCTCGACGACGACGCCGTTCGTCTCGTTGATCCCAGGTTCCGTAGCAGCCCTTGGAATCACAACTCGATCCTTCAGTCTCGGTCTACCACGTTTTCTGCCGGTTTTCACCGGTTTCGGTCGCGCGTCTTCGGAGGATGGGTCAGCGTGCTCCTCGTCGCGCGACTCCTCTCCCAATACGTTCTTGCTGGCCTCCTCTTCCGCTTCTTCCTTCTCTCGTCTCGCTTCCGTTTCGCCGCCATTGTCGTCCGTCTCGTCATGGTTCCTCCATATTTCTTTACATATTTCCATTCCGTATTTGTCGTAGTAGATGATCCTCTTGTTCAACATCTTGAGCCTCATACTGAAGCGAACCGAGGGTCTGTCGCCGTTAAGCGAGTCGGGGGAACTTGATCTCCCCAAATTCGTCGCGCTGGATTTACTCTTGACGACGCTTTTTTCGGGTCTGTCGAGCGAGGACACTGTTTGGTTCTCCTCTTTCCCTTCGCTGTACACTTTGGAATGCCGCCTCAGCGTGCTTTTTGTCGTGAGCTCTGTGTGCTCCTCATCTTTCGTCGTGTCGACGTCGCAGGTCGAATGTTCCGCCTTCTCGACGGAGTTCTTGTCGCTCGACTCCACAGGGGTTTCTTCAGGTACGGTCTTCTCTGCCTCGACCTCCTTCGTCGTGCTGAGTTCGCAGGACGGCGACAAAGGGACTCGTGCAGCCTCATTAATCGGGACTGTCTCCTCGGACTTGTCTAACTCGGGACTGTCCAAGATCAAGTGTTCGTCCGCCAGATTCTTCTTCTTCGACTTGTTCCGCTTCTTGTCGCCGTGCCGTGTCTGCTCTTCGCTCTTTCGTGGAGCCGATTTTTTCATCGGTGTCGACGACGCCTCCGGCGGCTGCGGTGTCAGCTGGTCGGTCAACACGTACTCGTCGTGACTCATGTTCTCGGTGATCTTGCAGATTTCTTCGTCCAACAGTTCATCCTCCAGCGACTGCTGCCTCGTTGTACGAAGATCCATGAAGGGACTCGTCGAATCCGCGTAAGCAGGATAGTCCTCGCTCGGTTCACGATTGTCGCCTGTCTCGTCCCTCCACTTGGAGATGTATGTATACGGGACGGAGTCGGGGATCTTCTTGCTCATTTTGAGCCTCAGACTGAAGCGACCTGAGGGTCTGGGGGAGCGGTTTTCGGCGAGTTCCTGCGCGTCCTCCAGGACACTCTTCGTCCGTTGATCGCACGTTTGATCGTTTCCCCACTCGTTGTTGGTCTCCTCGAGCACTGAGTCGATGGCCGGCTCGACCTTCGTGGACTTGAACACCTGCGACAGGTGTGATTGCGACTGCGTGTGCTTCTTCAGGGAGCTCTTGCGGGTGAAGCTGGTGGCGCAGACGTCGCAGAAGAACCTCGCCGCCTCTTTCGTCAGCTTCTTCCGCTTCTCCACGATGAGAATCTCGCCGGTCTTCGTGTGCACCACCACGAAGTTACCGGCGGCGCGTTTCTTCGGCGTCACCGGGTCCTCCAGCGAGTCGTAATTGTCCGACGCTGGCTTCAAGATAGCGGACGAGTCGTCGTCGTTCACTGCGCTCGTCACCGCGTTTGTCGCGCTTTCGCTCGGCAGACTCGAGGACTTCACGGTCGATTCTTCTTCGACGTTGCTGCTCTCTTCCGAGACTTTTGTGCTCTCCGACGGAGCTTGGGCGACCGCAGGAAAGTCCATGTCATCCGTGTCGGAGAGATCCAGGTGCTCGTCGAGCAGCGACTTCGATTTCCGCTTATCGCCGCCCGAATTTGCGACGGAAGAGTCGATCGGCGCGTTCTCATCGGCTGACTCGTCCTCCTCCTCTTTCTTTCTCTTCTTCTTCTTCTGCTTCTTGCGGGAGTCGCTCTCGGACAAGTCGTCCGTGCTCTCAGCCTGGTCGACGAGATCCTCGTTCGACGACTGCTGTTTTTTGCGGGACTCCGGTCGCGCCTCTTCGGAGGATGGGTCAGCGTGCGACTCCTTTTCGTTCTTGCTGGCCTCCACTTCCGCTTCTTCGTTCTCTCGTCTCGTTTCGCGATTGTCGTCCGTCTCGTTCCTCCACGGGGGGTATGTGGAGTAGAACATTTCCCCCATGTATTCCTCATAGTAGAGGATCTTCTTGTTCATCCTGAGCCTCAGACTGAAGCGAACCGAAGGTCTGTCGCCGTTGAGCGAGTCGGGGGAACTCGATCTCCCCAAGTTCGTCGCGCTAGATTTCCTCTCGACGACGCTTTTTTCCGTTTCGTCCGTCTCCACGTCGGGAGCCTCTTCGGGAATGCCGTCGCCGTTCCAGCGGTCATCCTCCGACTTCCTCTTTACGCCGCGTTTCGGCACCTTGAAGGACTCCAAGCTGACGAGCAATTCGTTGGGATCCGCGACGCTTGGCTGTCCGTTCGAAGCGACTTCGTCGTCCGGTAGATTCACACGCTCGTTGGTTAATGACTTCTTCTTTCTGCCACGTTTCTTCTTCACCGTTTTGGGAGATGACGGGTTAACGGGGTTGCTCGAGTCGACGTTTGGTTGTGCTTCTCGTGCGGGGTTTTTAGATATCGTTTCCACTGGAGACGAGGATTCCTTTGCAGCTGGGTCCTCGCCGATGGTACTACCGGCTTTTGTCGACTGCTCGTCAAGCGATTCCAGAGATTCTTTCATGGTGGATGACTTGGAAGTCGATACTTCTTCTGCCTCGTCGTTCACGGAAGCCTGCGGGATATCTATTGAAGGAAGCAAGGCGACTTGCGATTTTCTCTTGAACGTTCCTTTAGAGGAAGGCTCGCTCGCGTTAATTTGACTCTTCTTCTTTTGAGCGGATATGCCGCTTTTGACACTCTTCTCCAGGGAATCGATCGAGTCTCCCGACGGAGCGTTGGTGTTATCGGACGCGATCTTGTCCACGGAGGTCTCCTCTTCAGGGTTCGTCGTTAATTTCCTCGTGTCTTCGCAAGCGACTTCCGGAAGATCAGTGGATTTCACCAAAATCGACTCGTTGTAATCGTCCGCGAGGTTCTTCTCCGAATTCGGCGGCTCCGGGTCATCGTTGACGCTCTTATTCTCGCTCTCGGAGTGCGCGCACGAAATCTCCACGACTTCTTTCGAAGTCGACGCGACTTCTTTCGCGTCCTCTTTCTCCGGAAGGAGTTCGTTCTCAAAGCTGGGCGCTTCCTCCGGTCTGCGAGCGACGATGTCCTTCGCATTTTCCTCAGTACGTTCCTCCTCAACGGCTTTCGTCGGCTCGCCTTTCTTCTGCAATCTCGCACCCTCCGACGATCTCTTGCTGGATTTTCTTCCGGACCATCTGTCGTTCTCCCGCTCCTCGACTTTCTCTGGACTTGTTTTCTGCGTGGCATCTAGCGAAATGGAAATTACCGTCGAGGCGTCTGCCGGTGGAATCTCACTGCTCGTCTCCTCATTCAACGTTGGACTGTTCTCGCAAGGTTTTTGCTCGATCAGCGAATTCTCATTTATCGCGTCGCTTAGTTCCTCATTCATTTCATTATCCGCAGCACTGTTTATCTTAACTGGACTCTCACTCTGGTGATGAGTCTCCTCCGTCGACCTTTCCTCGGGTTTGTCTGAAATCTTCAGCAAATCGGTCGCGCATTCAACATCGGTAGATGTTGTGTCAATTGCGTTTTTCGCTTGACTAGGCGTGCTCGCTCCGTTCTCGGGTATGATCGGCGGCACGACCTCGTCGAGGATGCTGGTCAACTCGTCGGCCGCGCTGTCTAGCAGAGTGCCAACTTCACCCTCCACCAGTAGGGCGTCTTTCTGCTTAGCTATCTTCGATACGATCTTCTCCAGGAAGGAACCACCCTTACTCTTGTGTTTTCTTCTGGAGAGGTCGAGAATAATGTCGTTGGCCGGTGAACGCGGCTTAGACACCCTCGGCGATACATCGGCTTTCTGACTGGGGAAGGCGTTTTGGTCGTCTTGCGCCTTGCCGGGGTCAGGATGGTCGTTCCTCTCGTCCGCGCGTTGATGATCGGCGGTCACGTTCGCCGTCACGGCCTCGTTCTCCGACGTCCCGTCGGCAAGGACCAGCTCGCTGAACGAGTCCACCGCGACTACGTTGCTCTCGCCGGTCGGTTGTTGCGCGACACCGTTACGCACCAACCGATCCGGATCATTGTCCAGGCTGGTTTGCACCGTTAGCACCACGCTTTGTTGTGTCTCCACCGGGATGTTCATACCCTCCGTTAGGATGCCGATGACGTTGCTCAGCGATCTCTTCCTCGACGCTCGCTCCCGACGCGTTCCCTTTCTGGGTCTTGTCGCTTTCAGCTTGTGAACGTTCACAGAGGTTTCCAAGGAATTTTCCTTGCCGCTGTCGACGGAATTGCTCGTCTCAAGCAAATGGCTCAGGCTTAAGTTCATCGCTGGATCCTGATAGACATCGCAGTTGTTATCCTTGTTCTTGTCAATTTTGTCGACTTGGACGTTCTTCTCGATTTTGTCCTTCAAGTCGACTTTGTTGTTCTTGTCATCATTCATGTCGACTTTGTCGTTCAAGTCGTTCTTGTCGACCTTCTTCATATCTACCGCGTTGTTCTTGTCGACCTTGTTTTCTTTGCTGACCTTTTTATCTTTAATAACCTTGTCGTTTTTGTCGACCTTGTCTTCTTTGCTGATCTTATCATCTTTGTTGCCTACTTTACTGACTTTGTCATTGTCTTTGCTAACCTTGTCAATCCTGTCGTCCTTATCGCCTTTGTCGTTTTTATCGACCTTGTCGTTCTTGATGATCTTATCGCTTTTGTCAGTTTTATCGTTCTTGTTGACACTTTTATCGACTTTGTTGCCCTTGTCAATCTTCTCGATAGTTTTCTCGACTCCTTTTTTGGTTTCCTTTCCGGCCGGCGCAACAGTTTCACCAGGATTCTGTTCTCCCTCCATCGCACAGGCGGTTTTTTCAAACGATTTGTTTCGACGTTTCTCCGACGATTCGTTTCTTTTTCCATCACTTTCGACTTCCGCAGCTGGTTCGGCACCGCTCAATCGGGCGTTAAACTGAGGACAGATGGACGACGCTTGCTTGCTGTCAATCTTACCTTCGACGTCGTCGATCGCAATCCGCTTCGTCTTCGCGCCTATTCGACCGTCCCTTTTCCTGCCCTGATGAGTTCGTTTGCTCGTCACCGCGCTATTAACCACATTCTTCTCCAGACTCGTCTTATCATTAGCCTTCTTATTGGCGTACCTGGTAGTCAACATCCTAATTACCTTGAGTCTCTTTTTCTTCATTTCTATTCTTTCATACCTATCAAATTCCTCTGCGAGTTTGACGTGCCTCGCGGTCCTCTCGCGCGCCTCCGGGTCCAATTGGCGGGGAGTGCGTCTCAGGCCGCTGTCGCTGGTAGCGAGTTCTAAAGTATTCAAGTCCTTGCTGACCGAGCGCAGCAGCTTCTTCTTCACCTCGAAGGGGATATTCTTCACGGTGTCTTTCTCCAGCTTGGTCTTCGAGTTGCTTCGAGTCTCCTTCTTTTTCCACTTGAAGTCTCTCTTGCCGATCGTCGTTTCGTTCTCCTCCTTCTTGTCGTCGCCGGTAATAGTGTTTTCGATGGACGAGCTTCTCTTCCTCCTTCTCCCTCTCCTTTCCTTCGGTGATTTCGTATTATGCCTGGGAGACTCGTTTCCCTCAGTCGCGTCGACTTCCTTCCGTTTCGCGGTGTCCTTCGTCTCTTCTTTCGGCCTCCTCCCCCTCGGCTTGTGCTCCTTCGCGGGCTTTCCCGTCTCGGTATCAGTCTCCATATCGCTCTCCTTCTCCTTCGAGGTGGACTTCTGCTCTTGCAGGGACGCCGCGACCGGCGACAGAATCGGCAGATCGTTCGCCGATTTCTCAGGGTACTCCTCGTTCGAGGAGATCTGCACGGCCGGCTCCAAGGTCGGCATCTTGTCGCTGTCCGAGGACAGCCGGGTGACTCTTCGCGGTGGCTGGAGTGGGTCGGCTCTCTTCGTCGATTTCTGTACAGCTCGCAGCTTCGGCTTGGTCTCCGTCCAGTCGGTGCTTTTGCTCTGCTTCTCCTCGTATTTCGCTTTCGACTTCCTAATTGCCTTGAGTCTCTTTTCCTTCTTTTCCATTCTGGCGCACAACCTATGCCATTCCTGTTCAAATTTGAGGTCATTCGCGCTCCTCTCGCGCGCCTTCGGGTCCAATTGGCGGGGAGTACGTCTCAGGCCGCTGTCGCTGGTAGCGAGTTCTAAAGTATTCAAGTCCTTGCTGGCCGAGCGCTGGTCCGGTGATTTCGCCGGCGAGTTCGGGTTGCGCGCGAACTTACCGTCCTGCGTGCGCAGCTGCGACTTCGCCTTGATGGAGGCGTTCAGCGACGCCACGGGGTCCACCGGGCGTTTCTTCTTCGGTGCAGCCGACAGCTTGTTGTTCTTGTTAGAAGTAGTCCAAGTTTTCTTGTCGTCAGTCGTGACGTTGTCATCTTTGTCGGTCGCTTTCGGCGCCGTCGTCGTCGTCTTTGTGTTCTTTGGTGTACTCTTTGGAGAGGATGCTTCCTCGCCGCTCACGTCGTCCTTCGTCTGCGACGTGGCGACGTTCTTGAACTTCACGGGCTTGTTCTTGGCCTTGAAATGCGCCAGCTTGTCGGCGCTTCTGTTTTGAAGTCGCGGGCTCGTCTTCACGTTCCTCCTCTTGCCGAGGACCTTGAGTCGGCCTACGACCTTCGACCGAATCGTCCAATCGGCCAGGTCGGAAGAAGCCTTCGACGGGCTCTCGTTGATCTCTTTGGCGTCCTTGCTTCTGTTCCCCTCGGTTTCGCCGCTCTCGCCGTCATCGTCCGGTTTCTTCTTGTCGTTCTCTTGGTAGTTCCTCACGACACTCTCGATCACCGCGGATATGTTGTCGCTTCGACAGCGATTCCGCTGGATCGACTTGGCGTTCTTCAGCAGCTTGTTTCTCAGGGCCGCTTTATTGCGCGAGATGCGAGAAGCGGACCAGTTGTCGCCGATCATGCGAGGCCTCGTTCTGGTCTGCACCTGTTTCAACAGAACCCAAAGATGCTGCTACAACGAACGACGGTATCGGTGGCCGCTTATCGCCCGATCCGGATTCGACCGTGACATTGTTGCAACAATTTCGCCTTCTGGGATTTTAATTATTTTATTCCTCGCGCGAAAGTTGCTGTACTATATTTCATAATGAACGTAATAAAACCTTTCGTTAACTTGTTTTCTGCAAAATCTGTATATCGCAAGACATATGGCTCAAATTTCAATTACATTTACATTATATGTTTTGCAATCTTATGCGATATATAGTAACATGCATTGTTAAAAGACTTGTCCATCTTCTTCATAAAACCTTTAAAAAGAAGGAAATTGGAAACACGTTTTCTACACAGAGAAAAAGTATTAGAATCAAATAAGCATAATTACCTGTTTTTCAGCCTCCTAAATTAAGTTATATTTTTTATCAATTTATCAATTTAAGTATATATTAATAGCTAATATTATTTACTTGAACGCAATATTATAATTTGTAAATAAATTACTGAATGTACGTGTAAAATAATCCTAAATTTATATTAAAAATTTTAAATTTATAGACTAGAATTATGTAATACTTCTTTTCTATTTAATAAACTCAGTGGTTTTAAAGTTAGCTTTTCCTGTCCAATGAATATTTTCTAAATATAATTCTGATATTCTCACAATACAGTAAACTCCCGTATAACGCGATTAATACATTACGTGCTATATAAATTCGCGTTATAGGAAATCGTGTTGTATGGGAATTTTTCTCGCATAACGCGTATAATTTAAAATAACATGTTTGAAATTATTATTAATATGCCAACTAAAAAATCTTTTATTTCATTGAAATTTAATAAAATTATAATTATACAAATTTATGTATTATGTTTAAAAAAATTTGTTTTAATTGAAAAATACTTTTCCTTATCGTTATATTAACCCATTAACTGCCAAATTTTTTTTTTGAAATTTTTGGCCGGATAAGTTATATATATCACAAAAAGTTGTGTAACAGTATAATTATATTCAAATTATGTTTTGTTTTGATCCCCAAATGGGGATCGTGGCAGCTAATGGGTTAAGAGTGACCGCGTCAAAACAACGATGAAACAGAAGAAGTCGGCGCGTTGTACGAAGAATCGCGTTATATGAAAACAGAAGTCGCAATATCTTTGGCGCGTTATAGGAATTCGCATTGTAAAAATTCGCGTTATACGGGAGTCTAATGTATTATGAATTTAATACTTGTCGCAATTATTTTAATACATGCAAGTAAATGTCTATTTATACAAAGAAATAGAATAGAAAGAATATCATATTGTATATAAGGTTTATCTAAACTTTACCGACAAACTTACAGAACATATTTCTATATTGAAAAATAAGTAAAACATGTTTTAGTAAATATATGCCTGCAAAAGTTTAGTTTTTCAGATACAACTTTTAAAAGATGACAACGATGAAAGAAAATGTGTTGTAATAAGTGGATTAAGAATGCCATCCATTTATCTGTTTTTGAAGATAATTTGACTTATCAATTTTGATATTTCTGAATATTAACTGAAAAATCATTTATTATTACGTTAGTATATTATAACTATTTGTCGTGAGTGGAATTAAGAAAAAAACGTAATTAGACGTATTAAGAAAAAAAGCGTGTCTTTACTCCACAGATATCAGTTATGCATTGATAAGGTAAGCAAACATTTTGAATAATTTTTATAACAGTATGACTCTAGTTACTTATTTGTAAAATACGATTTATTGAATAACATGAAATGTATATTTTTTTTTATAACTAAGATTGTGGCAGCTACTTTTAGAAATTAAACGTTTGAAAACATATATTTACTAAGACATTTTACTCATTTATTTTTAAGTAGAATCTATCCAGTGAGTATGTTGGTGGAGTTGAGATACAACCTATATAGACAATTATACTCCCGTATTTCTATATGCGTATAATAAATATTTGCTAAAGAATATTGAAGTATCTATTTGGATGAAGTAAATGTTACTTGAACGGTGGTACTTCTCTTTCAATGTAGTTTAGAACTTTGAGCCTAGAGTCTTTTCAACATACATATTCTCTTTCTTGTGTATTACTTAAAAACTAAATGGTTTTATGGTCAGGGGACCGTAAGACAAATAAAAGAATTATATTAGTTGAAGGAAGAAGTGTTTTGCGAAGAACAGTACGTCACACAAAGGCAGCGTAAAAATCGTCCTATCTGCACGATCGTGTCCGCACAATCGCGACACAGATGAATGTGTGCTTCGACCAACGCGCGTGTCAACTAATCGATGCCACCGCTCGTGTGCGACAAGGCGCGCAAGGCAATAACGCTTTATCATTATTTCGACGAGTCTCGGCTTTTTCGTAACTCTCCCTCGATTATTTGGAATATTTGGGTCGGCCGGGGTTAACCGACGGTGGTGGCGTTTTATGTTGTTCACAACGTGCCGACAATACGCAAAATTGTGCCGAGCCTGCCGCCAGCTCGGCGATTTCAGTTAGAGCTCCATCGATCATTTCTCACGTATGCCCGGCTTTCCGTCCAGAGCGTTATCGAAAAGACATTCCGAAATTGTTTTTGGAGGTTCGCCAGCAAGAAGAGACAACGAATTATTAGCAAAGCATCAGAAAATGGTTCACAAACGCGAATACACTACGCTCAACAATTAGGGAAGCACTTGACACTTCCTCAAAAAATACGAGTAGGTAAGGTTTAAGCAGCTGTAAATTAAATCGTAATCCAAATCTAAAATAAGGGTTTTAAAGTTTGAAGTTTCTACTTTCATACGACCTTTATCGTTCCTTTAGTTCTTTTAATTTTGGTAATTTTTACATACCGAAATCGATGGATTGAACAAAACGGAAGATATTATCGTCATTTTTAGGCGTATCACAGGCATAAGAAAAAATCTGAGAAAATTTTCGACTTTCCATGTGAAAGATTAAAATTTTCTCTATAATTTATTTCCTTCGAAATTTTTTTACAATTTTTCATTTCCGAGATATCAACGGTTAAAGAAGAAAACATAAAAAATTTATTTTTGATAAAAAATTTTTTTGATTTATACTGACACTCGCTCAAATTCAATATATTACCAGAGTAATAGAAAACAATTTTTTAACGCTCATTGAATGTTATATTTAATTTCCCCTCTATTTTCACTGAAATTAAACAATTCCACAATAATCAATACGTTTTGCCCCATAAAATCATAGTATCTATTATAAAAAAGTGTCACAGCTATTAAGCGATTTTTTTCAAAGTCAGTTTATTTAAAACTTCAAAAAATCGTGAAGATAAGAAAGAACTTTATTGTTGTTTTACATAATTGTTTTCTGAGTCTGAATGAAAGAATAAAAATTTGCGAATATTTACGATATTTTTACCTGTTTGTAACGTGTCCACAAAAAATATTGGCAATTATACCGTTTGATAGAGCAAAGTTTCAACTTTAAATATCCATTTTCCGAATTGCTGTACAATGGTTTTTAACAGAGTTATGATCAAAGTTAAAATATTCATTTCTTCTTTAATCCTTGATAACTCGGGAATGAGAAATTTCAAAGAAATTTCGCCCCAAAAGTAAATTATAAAAAAAAACTTTCATCTTTCACTAGGAAAGGTCGAAAATTTTCTCAGACTTTTCCTTGCGCTCGTGACACGTCTAAAAGTAGCGAAATAATTTTCCACTTTGCCCAGCTCGTAATTTTGGGTATGTAAAAATTACTAAAATTAATTGCACCAAAAAATAATAAAGATCATTCGAAAATAGAGACTTCAAGCTTTGTAAACTTTTTTTGGATTTGAATTTCGATAACTTTTGACAAAGTTTCAGCTGCTTGAATCTTACCTATTTTTTCAGGAAGCGTCAAGTGGATATTCCTAATTGTTGTGCGTAGTATATATTTATTACGTTCGACTCTAAGGATGCCGTAACATGAGATTTCATGTAATTTGAATCGAAATTACCGGGAACGCGCTTCGATATCCCGCCATATTATCGCGGAAGCTTTATAGAGAGAGCCCATTAACGCCAGATATTGCGCCGCCGATATCCTAATTAAATCAGCCGGCAATTATAATCGGCAGTGGGGTAATACCCTTTACGATTCTAATATCGATTCAATTGCGGATCGCGTGTATTATTGAGGTAAGGCAGTCATTGTTCCCGCGCGCTATTGAATTACTTACGTTACGAAGTCTGCCTTGGGTACGTAGCGCGTTGTCTTGCAGGATTTTCCTGGTAGCCCTTTTAGGCGGTAAATTGGCCAGCATCTTTTGAATGCTCTCGCCTGAAAATGAATTCAGCGGATTGGTTACGAAACCGAGCGAGCGAGCGAGCAAGTGGAATTCGAGAATTCCTCTCTTGTTCTCTCTTTCGTGCTAAGACGATAATATTTAAATTCCTCTCTTCGGAAATTTTTCACATTTATACAGAAAAAAAAAAGATTTCTTTGAGTTCAATAAGATTTCTTTAATTGAAAAAAATTTGTCTTTTAGAAAGGAGCAAATAAATGAATGTGTGATTCAACAAACAGGATTGTTTGATTTCTCAAACAATCTTTACATCTGACAACATATTTCTTTTGTTTTTCATCTAAACATTACAATGGTAATCATAAATAATGAGTTATTTGAAAGAAATAATATGTTAAAAAGATATTGACGAACTTTTTTGTTTCAGTGGAATAATATTTAATATACAATACCGACCATTAATTTCAATAAATGACTAAATATCTAGTTAATGTTATAAAAGAAGTAGCAAATGTATACATTTTTATCAAAAAGGAGTTCATAATGCTTCCTATTAATTGTTAAAATATCTTTTTCATTTAAATGTAATACTAACCATCGAATTTCTAGTGACCGAAGTATATTTCATCTTGTAGTACAAGTACAAATAATCTTTGGGAAGTTCTACAAGAAAAATGGAAGCAAATTGGACTAGAAATTTTGGATAAAGTGAACTGTCAGAATGCCTTCAGTATGTGAAGCTGTGATTAAAGCTAAAGGTGGATACGTAAACCAAAATAAAATCTGAGTGAAAATATCGTTTTAACTTCAATATTATGTGCGAAATTTAATTGATATTATATAAAGTCCTTGCAATAAACTAGTAATTACAGTTACGTGTGTTTCCTTTTTACTTGAACTACCAAAACCCAAATAATTTTATTCAAATTAATGGCTGGTAGTGTATAATGGAGTAAATTTCTTTATTGAAAACCAAATATCATTTCCTCTAAATAATAGTGTTTTTTCCATCAAACAATATGGCTTACTTCAGTGAAACAATAACATTTTCATTCAAACAAAATGATATTAAATTATGTTATTTATATTAAATAAACCCAAATTCAAACAAACACGTATATTAAACCTGAAGAAATCCTTTTCTCTGTGTAAGCATGGCATTTTGCCTAATTTAAAACTCGAGATGATACTTGAAATTCTCTACACCTCTCTAGAAATTCTTCGTCCACACGAAGATTTTATCTCGACTACCCAAAAGCTCGAGGTCTGACTTGAGCTCATCACTCTCCGCGCTCATGTAAAACTCGATCTCTTACGGTCACTCGGTCGGACCCGGGGCCCGGCCGGCTGCTGCTTCTCCTTGGGCGTGCTGACTCGCGACGAATTCTGCGAGTTCTGGATGCTCCTCTTCATGCCGCGCTGACGTCGTCTGCGGCTGCGGCTGCCGAACGGCCGCCACTTGCACTTCTTCCGAGCGCTGCCGGTGAGACCGAGCAGCCAGGCGTGATCGCCGCCGCACTCGAGCATGTGCCGGTGCAGCTCGGCGGTGTCGTGGCAGATCTTGGCGCACTTGGTGCACGCCGTCTCCGTCGGCGAGGTGGAGCATCGCGCCTCCTCGTTGGGTGCGTCGCGTCCCGGCAGGTATAGATGTTGGTAGTGCTCGCGTTGGTCACCGACCAGCTCGAAGTGCGAACACAGCACGTGTTGGTGTGTGGCGACCTTGTGATCCTCCATTTCCTTCAGCGTCATCTGCAAGAGCGACGTTACCGGCGACGTTGCTTCCATGAAGACGTTCGGTGGGCGAATTCGCCCGGGACATTCTCACGGTCGTTGCCGGAGGCCAACGACCTATATATATCTTGTGTGTATATATATATATATATATACACGCACGATATATACATACATATATATATAGATAGATAGACCCGAGCATTCCTATACTTTCGCCGCGGCAGCAAAAGAATGCTACTCTCGATTCGTCAGATTCTCATGTGAGATAGGAAAAAAAATTGACGTGGGCAGAAAATTGACGGGAAAAAAGGACAAACGAACTGTCCGCCTCTTTCTTTTCTTCTCTCAATCTTCACTTCGTCAGTTTCCCGTTTCACCCCGCGGAATGCTCGGTTCATCAGTCGATACGTATGTCGCTGGTCGCAAATAAGATTAACGCGACTGGATGGTTTCCCTATTGGTTCTTTCTTTCCTCTCGAAATTTCATGCTGCATTGTGCTGTCGCGGAAAACGAAGCGACAGGTAACAGTGGATGATATTTCGACGATATTTCGTTACCGTTGTTATCCGTTATAACGAAATTGAAGGAGCACTGGTGCAGTGTCTACGTAACGACAAATTGCAATTAAATAATTATTTTTGCCGTCATTATAGGTCCGCGGAGACAAATCGCGCGAATGAGTCGGCGATTTGGAAGAGCAGCGAACCGCTCATCATCGGTTCCAATGTATCGCGCGCGAATGTCAAAGATCAAGTACACTGCTTGATAAATTCTAGACTACATTCATGCCAATTGAAATGCACTGTCCGGCACGCGACAATAATATCTTAAATCCCGTGTACAGAAGATTTGGATATTGTTCATAATTTATAGTCGTGAAAATTCTTGCAATGGTCATATCTGTACAATGCAGCGGCTCTTGGAACATTGTTGTGAAGCCATTGATCACACACTAATCGTTATACTGTTCGCAAAGTTCGCTCGGAATTTTCTTATCGTACATAATTCATCGATATTACATTTATATCATATATTCATTGATATCAGCGCCGCCATCCAGCCCCACTGGAACAAAAAAAGTGAAATAGTGACTGCTTCTTGACAGAAAAGGTGACGAAAAGTGAACTCTCAGACATCAAAATAGTGACGAAAGGCGATATTTTTTGTCAAATAAAACATTTTTTGTCATCCTAAGAGTAACTAAGGTCATTTAAACAAAAATGTAACACTTACGCTTCTCTTCCCAAGTTTATTTTTAGATAACGTAACATACAGCGAATTTTTTTATAATACGATACGAAAGTTCGTAACAAGGAAAGGACATGAACGATACAAGTACGAACGCTAAAACAACGGACCGATGAGTGAGCGGCAATCGATAGCAGATGAGACGGCAAAAAATATACATAGAACTCGTCTATATATTTTATAAATTTAACGGCAGCTCAGGAAAAAGTGACAAAAGGTGACTTAAGTGACTGGATGGCAACGTTATGATATATAACGTTACAATTTTTACTTATTCGCCAATTAAAAGTAAATAAACATACAAAGTAGATTTTATTTATTAGACTAATTTTTATACCCAACCAAGTACTCAAGGGAGCGATTTATTTCACATAAAAAAAAATATGTGTCCTAAACGGCTTAATTTCCGAAATATAAGGTGCTTTGAAAAAAATTTAAATGTGTGATAACAATCTATTTGAAATACCAGTCAGAAAAACAAAAGCAAAATTAGCAGCAAAGGAAAATACAAAAACAGACTTCGGTTCTTCAACACACTTGATATCTTTGAGTATGTACGCCAATCTTTGAGAAGGAGGGTGTATTATGGCGGAAGGTGGTCATTTCCAACAATTCATTTGTTTCATTCATAATTTTTTATTTTTTTGGCATTATATTTTCGAAATGTCAGTCCCGAAATATTATAAGCTTACATCAAGTTTCAATAAAATATCCTAAAGCCTGTGTGACATTTATATTTTCCTCAAGACTTCAATATCTTGTATATGAGTTCGCACATAGAAAGAAAAGTTCGGTTGAATTTACATGACAATGAACGAACCAAACGCGTTTTAATTGAAGGAAACAGAATTTCTGGTTTTTACGAAACAAATTCGATTCTTACGACCAGAAAATCTGTTTTCTTCAATCAAGACGCATTTGGTTCGTTCATTGTCATGTAAATTTAACCGAATTTTTCTTTTCATATGCAAACTGATAAACAGGGTGTTCCTTAAATACCCAGCCATATTGAAGGGAACGATTTTTTGGTTTATTTCAAGTCGCCTGGTTTGTGCTCATCGTCAGGTAAATTCAACAAAAAATTTTTTCTATACAATCTTTATGTTTTCAGTCGATATTTCAACCTCGAGATACTTGAGTCTGGTTTTTCATTTTCTGGTTAACTTGTTATATAGATTTAAACTGATGATAATGCAAAAATTGTTTTTCTATTCACGGTTAATCATTAAACTCTCTAATGGTTTTGTAACGGTAACCTATAACATTTGATGATTAATCATGAATGGAAAAACATAATTTTTAGCCGCTTATCAGGTTAAGCCTGAACCACAAGTTAATCGGAAAATAAAAGATCGGGTCGTTAATATGATAAAAAAGAAATATAGTGTCGACACACTTACATGTCTGGAGCCGCAAGCGCCGCAGATGTAGATCCGCGGTCTCGCCCATTCGCCGCTCAACTCTGCACGCACGACCTCCTCTTGGATGTCGGTCGTCTCATTGGTGCCCTGTTCCCGCCTAGCCACTTGCATAAAGTCCGCGAATTCGGAGTTGAAATCCGTTGTAAATTTGCTCGAGCTTGACGACGCGGCGGACTCCGCGCTCGACGTCACCGCCGTCGTTTCCTGCTTGATTTCGCACGGAGGCGGCTCGCCGAGGTCGCAGCGGATCGCGTCGGGAGCGGAAGTCGCGTCGTCGGTGCTCTCCTGTTTAACCGTCGTCGCCGACTGTTCCGGCTCACGCACCTCGGTGTTCTCGTTGGCCGGCGGCACGGAGGTCTGACCTACCCTACTGATGGTGAGGCGCTCCTTGATCAGCTGTTGCTTCTTGCTGAGCAACAGCTGCGTGGAAATGTCGAAGTTGCTGAGATCCTTGATGGAGGACGTCCAATCTTGACCCCTGCCGTCGTACTTCCGCGGGAAATTGTACTTCTCGAAGGAAACTCTGCGCGGCCGCGAACCGCTACTGGTCTTACCGGCTTTACGGGCGTACTCGCTCGAGTTCTCGTACTCCTCGGCCGTGTAGTCCTTGCTGTAGACCGGTGTCGCCGCGGTCAACGAGATGTCGATGGGAAATTGAATCTGATTGTGCTCGTAATAGGACTGTTGCGTTTGTTGCTGCTGTGACTTTGGTTCTGTCGTTGTCATTGTCGTCGTCGTTGTTGTCGTCGTCGTCGTGTTCGCAACAGTGACCGATGCGGACGTCGACGACAAGCTGCTTATCGTCTGCAGCTTACCGTCCAGGTGATGCAGTAGGTTTTCGCGGATGTTGCAGCTCACGTTGGTGTAGAAGGAACTGTCAAACTCTGGACTGGCCGGGTTGTTGTCGACGGACTCTCGCGTCCCGATGAGTTTCGTCCGAGCGTCGCCTTGACTCTCTGATTCCCCCTCGTCCGGTCTTCTCTTTCGGACCGACGACACATTCACTTTCTCGCGGAGGTTTGGGCCGCAGAATTCCTTGCAGGGCGAGCCTTCCTTGATTTTGTCCGGCTGGAAAGAAAAAGGACGTTTGGTCTGATGTCGAGTGAGCGATGTGTTTGTACTTTCGGAGACTTGTATAAAATGAACGATATTTGCATTAACCTTTAGACAGTTTTATCACACATCAATTTTTCCCGATCAGAAGATTCTGATGCAGATGAGAATTTTATTTGCAGGAGCTGACAAGTAGCTCAAGATCAGCGGTCGGATAATTACAGAACTGGGAAGGAAGAAAAAGCAAAGAAAATCTATGAATCCTATTACACGGTAACGTTAATCCGGCAATTAGCAACAACTGTAATTAGTGAGTTTTTACATTTGATTGGACGAGTTCAGTAAATACGATTGTTACTAAACCAGATTAATGTTGCCGTGTAAATATAGCTTGATATAGATATTAGTTCTTTTCTTGTAGAATCGATCTATAACAGCAATTGTGGAAAAAATAAGGAAGATAATAAGGGCTCAGACACAATGAAAGAAATAAGGAACAAGGAATTAAATATAGGAAATTCAGAACAAAGAATTAAATTTTGACATACAAACAACCATGCTTCAATCAAAATTAAAGAAATGGCTAACTAAGATTAGGAACACTGTCGAAATTCTACTAATATGCAAGTAGAAATCAGTTTGAATCAATCGATCATTATTAAGAAAATGATAGTATTAGTGATAAAAGAAGAGGTTTATTAGATAATAATAATTTCGGTTTTAAAAAGGTATTCTCATTTAGAACATTTCGTTTTGTAGGTGACTTTTAGAATTTTTTTTTAACTATAAAACATATTTCTCTATAACTTCTCTGTAATTTGATAAAAATATTAGTAAAATCATAATAGTAATAAGAAAATCAATATATGCATCTTTTCTTATTATTAATCTACAAACATGTTAAATTTAGAAAATCTACGTAGATTTCAATAAACAGTAACATTTCATTAATGTTATAATTTCTCATTCATTAATGTAAGTGTAATGTGATATAACAGTTACATTGGTGAATACGAAATTATAACATTGTTGTAATATTACTGTTAGTGTTTATTGGGACAGTGAGAATGACTTTTTGCCTATGACTTCGGTTCTGTCGTCATCGTCGTCGTCATGTTCGCGACCGATGCGGACGTCGACGACAAGCTGCTTATCGTCTACAGTTTACCGTCCAGTTGGTGCAGTAGGTTCTCGCGGATGTTGCAGCTCACGTTGGTGTAGAATGAACTGTCAAACTTTGGACTGGCCGGGTTGTTGTCGATATCATATGATTCAAATAATTATGAAAGAAGATTTATTAACCAATTAATGGATTAAAGTACAGAAAGTGCAGATGCGTTATATAAGTAATGTTATATGATGTATATGTAATATGATAAAATTATTATATATGTATATGAAACTGAATTATTAGATTAGGTTTACGATCAATCAGCAATGCACAATAAAATAATAATACAATAGTAATATAGAGTTTGTATTAATCATATCATTTTTATTTAACTTCATGATTTTTACGATACTATCTTTACGAGAATAGAAATATGTAACGTGAGTGGACTTGTGTGACGTAAACTATATCTCAGTTGATTTTAATGACTTTGATAGAAGATACTAAATATAAAATTCACTGTCAACTTTATAAGTTAAGAAGAGGATTAAGGAAAGGTACTGAGAAGGGTAGTATTGAAAAAAATTTGTTTCTATATGAAATCTAAGAAAAAAGAAGCGTGAGATGTAAAATACATCACACGCGTCTGCTAGAATGCGTTTAGAAATCCTACTCGACGGGTAAAATAGTCTTTAATTGACCAATCAAGATAGAAAATGTCATAATTAGTTCATAAATTTTATTTTATCGAGTAGAATTTCTGAACGCGCACCTGGAGGGTTAAATTACAAACTTGTGACTATTGCTTTTATCATGATAAAGTCAATATTTCAATTTTTAAGGCTGAAAAAAAACTTTAAAAGCTCCCAAAGTTGAAAAAAATCTGGCCAAAAATTGACTTTTTTCTTTTAAGTCGTGCAATTTTGTCAAAAATCAATTTTTACTTCGCATCGTGATAGAAACGACAGCCACAAGTTTATAGTTTAATAATTTGTTTGCCGTTTTGATTTTAGAAGCCTACAACATCCGAAATCGTGGCAAACGAAACTTTTGTTCAACACTGCACAAAATTATATATAACTTTATTAATATTCGAAATTATTATATACAGTTAAAATATAAATATAAAATATAAAAAATATAAATATTTGTAGAAAACTTCAGAATTGTATGTCATATAGTTTCTTCAAAAAAGATTTACAAAAATCATCTTATTTGAGAACGATGTTTCGAATGAGAATATCTCCTTAAATTGAAACGTTTTTACATCTTATTCTCTATTCTTTTATTGTTTTAAACTATAACTTATTCTTAATTCTCTATATTTAATTCTTTGTTCCTTGTTCCTTTCATTGTGTTTAAGCTTTAATGCGCCTCTCTGTGAGAAACAAGAAACTCGCGAGTAAAGATCTACATTCTATTTTAATAACATGCAGAGTAACTGAAGGGAGAAAAGAGAGAAGATAGTCCTCATCGGCTTCCAAGATATTTACCTGAGCCTGACCGCTGTCATGCACTTCGCTCGTGTGTCCCATCAGAACCTCCCGTGTAGGGAACCTCGTCGAACATGGGACGCACGCATGATACTTGTCCCCGTGATTGTTGACCATGTGTTGAAACAGCCCTTCTAACGTGTCGGCGCATCTTTCCGAACAATACTGGCAGTTTTGAGAAGGTTTCCGTGGATTTCTCTCGGATCTCCTACCGCCGCCGAGTTGGTGTACCCTCTCGGTATGTCGCTGTCGCAAGGATATAGACACGAACTTCCTGTCGCAGTACAGACAGAGCAGCCTGATTGGGACGGTAGAGGATGAGAGTTTTGACGGCGATAGCTTCTGAATCGAACTCTGCGCCATATTGCTGGTCGATGAGCTTGAAGACGCCAAGGCAACCCGCGAGATGAGCGACTCACCTACTTGACAGTTCTGAAGCACTGACACTACCTTTTCCAAGGGTAGACTGCAGTGCAGGCTGGTCTTAAACATCTCCTGGCTGGTGGTCTCCTTCAACCCTAAGTCGATGTTGCTCACTAGGTCCTGCAACATCTCCTTGCAGATGCCGTGCAACACTGTGTCCTCGTGCTCCTCTCCTCCTCTGCCATCATCGACATTCGCCCTTTCGTCCGCCTGATGTTCGCTCAGTCTGTCAATCACGACTGTGTCCAGAGTCCGAGGTTCTGTCTTTTCACATAAAATGTTCCGATCATCTTGGTCACAGCTAACCAATGACTTTTCTTTCTTATTGATATCTATACATCCTTCCTTCGTCGTCCGGAGCTGTTTCTTCGACTCTTGTTTTGTCTCGATCTCTGAGTCCTCGATGCTTTCTTCTGTCGTTTTCTTTATTTCCGGATGATCCATAGTTTCCGAAAATTCAACATTCTTTTCCGTGGCGCTCGAGCTGGTCATTGTGGCGTCATCTAACTGTGGCACAACAGCAGCTTCGATGTCACCCTCGCCTGAAGGCTCCTTTGTTTTGTCCCCGTTCTTGCCACCCACTACGTCTTCTTTGTCTTCTTCATCATCGATTACGTTGCTGAGCATCGTCATCACATATTTTTGCAGGCTCTCCAGGTTCCTCTCGATGCTGGTCCGGTCATCCTCCTCCTCCCTCGGTGAATCGGAAGCCACGGCGCTTCTGGCAGCTCCGTCTGGTACCTTCTTGCGTAAGTTGTTGATCACGTTGCTGAGCCGAGATCGCTTATCCTGTGCGGTCTGGGCCGATCTGTAGGCATGACCGTATCGCTCTTGTTGCTGTTGCTGCTGGCGGTCGCCGCTGGTCGCGTTAGCCGGGTGGTTGACACCCGGGTCGTCCAGGCTCTGAGTCGACGCCACCATGTCGGATGACGTTGTCGTGCAGGACAACTTCGCCGTACGGTAACCCTCAGCCGGGTCGTCGTTCGGTGTTTCGCCGCTACCAACTACGTCCGTCGATGCCGCCTCTGCAAGAATAACCCCCCTTCCTGTAACTGTCGCCGTCGACACGCGGCGCTTCCACGGGATATCGGGAGATATTCGCGCGGAATCTCGACGTACCTTCGACGTCTCGCGCGTCTGGGTCGCTTCTTCGCTTCGGGGGGAGAGGTATATCGTTTAATTTATTTTCGGACTGTGCGAGATAATTGTTTGAAGAACCGGACGCGGCGAAACGATAAATCTGCCGTCATTGGGAAACAAACGAATCATGACGCTCGTTTGTTTACCTGGGTATTACGGTCATCGCGCAAAGCTCCGCGTAATTTCGCTATGCGGAATCGTTAACTTCACTTATAAGGAGGTTGTAAGGCGAAACGAGTTTGATTCGATGAATTCGATGAAACCGCGTATAATATGTATTGAAATATTATTTAACTGCTCGTGCAATTAGAAAAAGATTGACCGTTCGAGAGCTGAGATATTTGCAATTAAAGTTGGCAATTTTTACATGTGTTTCTTGAGATTAGCGTGCTATTTTTAATTTCTACTTTTAATATTTTTGTTCAAGTTCTGGTAAAATAAAAGCGCCGCGTGTTGTATGCTGCAATGTGCGATGTTTTAATTATAATAAGGAGTTTTTGCAATAACGTTTTTTCAAATCCGATGAACGCTAAAATGCGTTCCGATATTCACTGCCAACACTTCAAATCTATAGATACATAACACAAACTGTAGATTCGCAGTATTGGCAGTGAATATCGGAACGCACTTTAGCGTTTACCGTATCTAAAAGACGGTATTGCAAAAACTCCCTAATATAATAAGAAGGAAGTACAGAACTATAAAGCGTTGTCTACAATAAGCGTAATAAGCTTTAATCCGTAAGAATTTGATCAATCACAGTCGAATGTAAAGAGTGGAGAATAATCGATTGTGATTGTTCAATTTCTTACGGCTTAAGGCTTACTGCACCTACTGTAGACATAGCTTAAAGAAAGAAATAAGCGAGCGACATTTGTAGTTTCCATTCAGCGTAAAAAAAGAAAATTAAATGAATATAGAAAAGAAATTAATATTGAATTCGATTTTCTCTAACAATCTTTTAAACTAAAAATTAGATTTTGATGAAAAATTACTATGATATTAAAGAAACTAAAAAAAAAACTAAGGGAGAATTCAAACCTTGACAGAAAAACAGAAAGCAGAAAAACAGAAGCCAATCAGAACTCATGCTGGTAGTTGACAGTTTTTGCTTTATGTACTGGTTATTACCAGAGCGAGTTCTGATTGGTTTCTGCTTTTCTATCAAGGTGTGAATTCTCTTTCATACACAAACATTATATAAAGATTTCAAAATTATTGGCCATTTTGTTTTGAAAATATAACGGTGTTAAGTTCACAATAATATTAAAATAAATAAATAAGTAAATAAATAAATAAATAAATAAATAAATAAATATATATATA